GGGGGGGGGGGGGGGGGGGGGGGTAAGATGGGCAATCATTAGCAAAGAATTGGTTTAGACAGGTTAATACCTGCTGATTACGGAAGGAGACAAATCCAAACCCCCTTGATCGGCCTGTTTTCTGATCCCACATCACTCTTGCATCACTGAAAGAGAAAACATGAATATAGCATTGAGTAATCTCATTTGCTGAATATGAACGCCAGTACATCGTGTACAGGACAAAATACGTCAAAGAATGGAACTTACGAGCAGCTAGTGTAGACTGAAAAGCATGCAAACAATGTGGCATCTGTAACCTCCGGACTAAGATCACCCACAAAAATGTTATAGTGATCTATAAGTGAGAAGAAGCAGATTTAGTTCTTGGTACAATAATGTACAAAGTAACAAAAGGGTTAAAAATGGAGATGTCTAAAATTCATACTTGATGTGTCCTCTCTTTGAGCACTGGCATATGCCCAGTTAACTTTTATAGGCTGTCCAAACCTGCAATTTACAAATTAGGGGAAACCATAGAGCAAATAACGAACTTGAAGCCAGAATTTCGTAAAAGCTCTTACAAGTGCCTTCCATTAAGGGTCACAATCGCAAGGGCAGCTGATCGGCGATCAAAGTAATCCACAAAACCATAGGATGACTGCATTGTACAAAGATCACCATAAATTACTCTCATACTGACTATTCACACAACCAAAAGGAAAAAATTAAACTTTTTCAGACTTGAGATGACCTACTGATTTATAATGTAAAAATCAGTATGCGAATAGGTTGTCTGAATTCCAATAAGGTACACATGGATAAGTTATATACGTATTAAAAATGATCTTTTGGTATTAAAATGGTAAGATTTTAATAACAAAGAACGGTAACATAAAGTCTACAAGGAGATAGTTGATACAAGAACGGCAAAAAAACTAAAACCATATTCCTTTAGCTATTAGTTATCCTACATTTATTCCCCGAGTTACTGTATAAGCTATAAAACCAAAGAACAATACAATGCTCATTTAGAAATATCAAACTACTAACGGAGATCAATATTATCTTTTATTGTATAGCCGAACATCTGAAATTGACACGATTTTAGATACTCTTACTATTCCACAACCAAGCACCAAATAGATTATAGACTTCTATCAAGCTTATACAACAAACAGCCTCTTAGTGCTAAGAATTTCACAGGATCCATGTACAAAACAATATCTGCCTTATTAGAAAATCCAAGTATCAATATGCCATTCCAAAGTCCAAACAAAGACAGGTAGATATTTTCTAGAACTAGATTCAAGGACTGCTATCAAAGACAAACTAGGTAAGGTTTGGTTGGTGATCAGCAACTCTCTTTCCCAAAATATTCCCTTCTTGCTAGATAAGTTTCCTCAGAAACATAAAATCAGGAATAAGACCAAGAACATCATTATGCACAATTTACCGAAAGCAACACTAATATGCATTCAAACAGGAAATTTTCATATCTACAAGACCTCAAGAGGGATTCAAGAACTTTGGACTCCCATCACAACTTAGACTTGCTCCAAGGCGCAATTACCATAAAGCAACTATATAATGCCCAATAGGAAGACTTTGACTAGTTTAATGATGTAAAAGTCCATAACAATAATCAATTGTAGTGAGGTGAGATTTTTCAAATTTATTCGCAAACAAGACCATACCTTGTCCTTTCTTATGAGCTTGCATCCCTCAAGGGGACCAGTGCTTGCGAAAACCTCCTGAAGAAGTGGTTCTGTAACTTGTGGGTGGATGTTTCCCACGTACCTATATTGAATCACGTCGAAAACAAAAAGGTTATCAAGGTTGTTAATAATAATAATAATAATAATAATAATAATAATAATATAAAATCCCTTTTTAGTAGGCAGAAAACTGTTATCAGCTTTACCATTGCTCCGTTTTTTTTCCTTTCTTCTTACAAGAGAAGATGAAGGGGGCCTTGGAGCAATGGTAAAGCTGTCTCCGTGTGACCTATAGGTCACGGGTTTGAGCCGTGGAAACAACCAATAATGCTTGCATTAAAGTAGGCTGTCAATATCACACTCCTTGGTTGTGATCCTTCCCCGGACCCTACGTACACATGGGATGCTTTGTGGACCGGGTTGCCCCCTTTTTCTTACATCTTACAAGAGAAAACCTAGACTGGAAACAGCTATGCTATATCAATTAAACTGAAAAAATTGCACTTAAGCACTGAAGTCTACAGACGACGTGTCACTGTTAAATCTATCACTCGTAGACACACTTGTAAATGCCAAAAATTGATGAAAAACTCAATTCCTAACTTCACTGGGAAACCTTTTTTTTTGATAAGGTAAAAAGTGACTGCGCTAGGAAACCCGACATCATGTACAAGGCAACAAGCAACAACAGGAACAAAAGGTAAACAAGATTAAAAGTTTGATATCAATTATAGTATACAAAAGGATGTGTAAGGCACTCACACACTCCTGCAAGTACTCGAATCAAATCCAGGAGGCAGATTTCCACTCAAGATGGGTTCTATCTGTAAATAAATAGTAATAAAATGTCAGAAAATGATAAATAAATAAATATGTGAGGGCTAGATATTCCCCAGTATAGGCAACTAAGAAAAAAAAAATTGATAATAGAATGAACCCCTAACTTTTGCTGCACATCCTCAAGTAAAATTGTACAACAACAATAACAAACCCAATGAAATCCCCCAAGTGGGGTCTGGGGAGGATCGTGTGTATGCAGACCTTACCCCTACCTTGTGAAGGTAGAGAGGTTGTATCCGATAGACCCTCAACTCAAAGACAGATAAAAAGGAAGTAGTAACAAAAAACAGTGACAATAAGCAAAAAGCAAAAAGGTGATACAAAAACCAAAGCAAAAGAAATAACTAGTAGTAAGAAAGATCTAAGGATAAGAGAATACGAGAATAAGACTACAGTAATGAAAAAGAGATACACTCGACTACACTATCCTTATATCCTAATCCTCAACCTCCACACCCACTTATCAGGAGGTGCCTAATCACCTTTCCCCAATGCTTCTTAAGCCCACATCTGCCTCTACTCAGCCCCACAATGGACAACCTCTCGCACCTGCTCACTGGACCATCTGTGTATCTCCACTTCACATGCCCGTACCACCACGGCCTCACTTCTAGCATCTTGTCCACCACATTGGTCACTCCCTCTTTGTCCCGAATATCTTCATTCCTAATCTTATTCCTCCTACTATGCCCGCACATCCATCTCAGCATCCTCGTTTCTGCTAAGTCCATTTTTTGGACATGGAAATTCTTGACTGACCAACACTCCGCCTCATACCACATAGTCAGTCTGACCACTACTCTGTAGAACTTACCTTTAAATCTTTATCACACATTCTTACGCGAGTCTCCATTTCATCCACCCTGCCCCAATACGAAGTGTGACATCCTCGTCAATCTCCTTATTACCTTACCCCAAGGTACTTGAAACTTCCTCTCTTAGGAATGACTTGTGTCAAGCCTCACGCCCACATCCACTTCATGAGTCACTGAACTTGCACTCCAAGTATTTTGTTTTGCTCCTGCTCAACTTGAAACCTTTAGACTCTAAGGTCAGTCTCCAAACCTCCAACCTCACATTAACTCCACCTCTCGTCCCGTCAGTTAGTACCATGTCACCAGCAAATAACATGCACCGCACCTCCCCTTGAATGTGTTGCGTCAGTACTCCATCGCAAAGGCTCAAGTAAAATTGTATGAAAACTAATTCAAATAAAGGAGCATATGGTTGTTATGCGCGCCTCAAGTTTGAAAAAAAATTCTTTCTGTTACTTATCTTGCATAAATCATAAAACTATACCTACAAGGAGAACCAAAAAATTTGAACATTTACTAGACCAGCAGTTGATATTAACATGGTAACCCTTGGCAACTGTTTATAAGTTGTAAGGAACGAAATGGACTCCAACTCCTGTTATGCCATATTTCTCTCCAAAACCAAAATGGCTTCCCGAGGGCGAGCATATAATAAAACGAACAAACAAATAGGATCTAGACACAAAATTCAATCTTCAAACAAACTACAAACCAGAAATGAAAATAAAAGCTTGTAGCTTTGATGATATCCAGACTTGTAAACCCAATACATACCAAGAAGACAAATGAGTAACCAAATAAGATACAACGACGCAAAAAGATAGGACCCAGAATAAAAGCTCAATTTTCAACCAAACCACAATCCAGAAATGAACATAAGATACTAGTAGCTTCACTGATATTCAGACTTGTAAGCACAGACCAAGAACTCGAGTGGGAAACTAAAACATGAAATTGGAAAAGGAAAAAAAAAAGAGGGAATAGTCCATCTCAAAAGCTCAATACTCACACAAACTATAACCAGAAATGAAAAATAGAATTGTAGTGGCTCTCTTGACATTTGGATTTGTAGCCTCAACAAATATAAAAAGTCAAAACCTAAAAAGACAAAAACTTTACTGAATTATAACTAGTACAGTACTAGGAAAAATGAAACTTTTGAAAGGGCAAACATAGAAAACTTACATGAGGGACGCAGAACCCAACTTACAATCAAACTACAATCCACTAATGAAAATACAAGCAGCTTTCTTGATATTTGGACATGAAAACCCCATGCATAAAAGGGCAGCCCGGTGCACTAAGCTCCTGCCATGCGCAGGATCCAAAGAAGGGCCGGACCATAGGGGTCTCTATTGTATGCAGCATTACCCTACATTTTTTGCAAGAGACTGTTTGGACGACTCGAATATGTGACCTCCTAGTCATATGGCATTTTTACAAGTTAGCCAAGGCTCCCCTTAAAAAACGTGTTATTTGTACATTATGCCCCTTTAAAATTTTAAAATTAAGAAAATGATATTTTTAGATCTATCTTACATGTAAAAGTAAATATCACACGTGTAAAAAAAGAAGTACGATCGTGAAACTAAAAACAAATTTGTAAAGAGCCACAAAACCAATTGACCCTTCAAAAACCCTATGCATAGTAAGATATTAAAACCTCAAAATGACATATTTTTCCTTGGATAATAGGAAAAACTAAAACTTTTGAAAGAATAAACAAAGAAAAATTACCCAGCAAAATATGAAAACCAAAACAAACAAAAAAAGGACTCTGACCCACAATCAAATACTCAATATACAAAAAAATTACAACCCATAACTAAAATTACAATGCTAGTAGCTCTATTAACATGTGAATTTCAACGCCAGTAAACATCAAGAAATCAAAACCTAAAAACAAAAAAGACTTAATTTTTATCGAATAGCAGTTAAAATAAAACTCTTAAAAGGGTAAAAATCGGAAAATTACCTGAGGGGGTGCTAAGAGACCAGGGTGATAAAGTGATTGTTGCATCAATGCTTGTTGTTGCTGTTGTTTCAGCCTTTGCTGTTGCATCGTCTTTCTAAATATGGGGAATTTAAATAGAAAAAAAAAGGATAAGAAATTGAAGGGATAATTAGGGTTTTGATTGAAAGAAGGAAAATCAAAAAGAAAAGAAAAAAAGAAAGAAAGAAAAAAAAGAAAAGAAAAGAAACCCTCGAAGGAGAGGGAGAGAGCTGCAAAACAGAAGATGAATGAAAAGAGATGTGGTGAATGCCACCCCCCTGGGTTGAGATTAGGTTATTTTATACTAAAAAGTTGGAGTTCAAACCTTAAAATTAATATTGAATCATATATAACTCTAATTTAAAAGATAAAATAAGAAATTTACTAATAATATTACTTTCCTCCATTGTTATCTATTTATCTCTTTATATTTTAACACTAAAAGATATTTAATGATTTAAATAATATAAATATTTTTGCAAATTATCTTTATCTTTTTAAAATGTCTCACTAAAGAGTGGGTTTATGGAAAAAGCTAGTATATTGCTTTCTTTTTAAAGCGTTAAATGTTTTGAGAATAAATTTAGTGTGCCAAAACAACAAAATAATATGGACCGAAGAAAATATTATTTTATAATTTAGCTATTGTTGATGATAAATAATAAGTAATGTTAGAACAACTTTTACTATTACTGAACATAAGTAGTAAATCCCTTTTAATTTTAAAACGATAGGATTCCTTTCCATTACAAACATTAAATTTTGGCACGTATAGTCCTCCATTTAATAATGGTTTGTGAATTTGTGGTGCCAAAATCAGGGAAAAGGAATAAAAATGAAATTTTCTTACTTTTGGAAAAAGGAAAACAAAGGAAAGAACTCTTGTAAAATTTCTTTCTTTATTATTTCACACTGAATTTCAAGAAGTCCTAACGTAATTTTGATACATGACATCCGATTCAACTAATAATATAATCACTTCAAAATCTAGATAAATTTCTTTCCTTACTAGTAAGTGTATCGGTCAGAAATCTGACCAATCGACCGTCGTGGTATCGACCCCGTCTCAAGTACGCTCCCCAAAGCAATGACCAGCGAACCTGACCTCGCCCAATCCGCATCAAATACGAAGCAAGCATTGAGGTCGCCCCCTCTACCTGGTCGACCAAAAGAAGGCCTAATGGGCGTGAGGCCCCAACTATAAATAGGGAAGAAAAGAGTTATTTTAGGGGGGCTGCTCCAGATATTTTGGGGCATTCTCTCTCTCTCTCTCTCTCCTCTCTCTCCCTCCCTCTCAAGAAAGGAAAAGAATATCCCTTCTTCAAAAAAGAAAAAGCCCCGGAAGAGGAGAGATAAACGGATTCCCAGAACCTCTCCCAAAAAAAGCAGGATCGATCTGGAGGATAGAAAATGGATTACTATTCCCTGAACCTCTCCAAGGAGAGGCAGGGCCAATTTTCATGATCGATAAAGTCTCTTGAATGTCATCTCTATTACGGCTGCTATCCTGTTGCTTCAGTTCTTAATTCGGTATTAATTATGGTTGGCTATGATTTACCCCTTTTTATACATTTGATTGATTTGCTTAAACATTGTTCGGCGCAACATTTTAAGTCAAACAATTTGGCGCCGTCTGTGGGGATTTCCTAGCGAGAACTCTTAGTTCTTCCCGAATCAAAGGAAAAGCATCAAGAGGATAGCTCGATTCAAACCAGAATCGACGGAAACGCGCCAAACAGAGAAGATGGAGAAGCCGTCCCTCGCTATAACTCCCACTCATCTTCCCCGCCGCGTCAGGCCGGAAACCGGCGCAAAAGCGCCGCAAACGAGAAATCGAAAATGAACCTGGAACAATTTGAATGTCATGATCAAGCAGATGAGCGTAACGCGAATACAACATGTGATGCAGGCTAAACGCCTTCGCCGTCAAAACAGTATAGTTCGACCTCGCTCGAATTGGGACTCAGGCTAAATGCCTTCGCCATCAACAGTGCAGTTCGACCTCGCTCGAACTGGGATTCAGGCTAAACGCATTGCCATCAACAGTACAGTTCGACCTCGCTCGAATTGGAACTCAGGCTAAACGCCTTCGCCATCGACAGTACAGTTCGACCTCGCTCGAATTGGGACTCAGGCTAAATGCCTTCGCCATCGACAGTACAGTTCGACCTCGCTCGAACTGGGACTCAGGCTAAATGCCTTCGCCATCAACAGTACAGTTTGACCTCGCTTGAACTGGCTCACGCTAAATGCCTTCGCCATCGACAGTACAGTTCGACCTCGCTCAAACTGGGACTCAGGCTAAACACCTTCGCCATCGACAGTACAGTTCGACCTCGCTCGAACTGGGACTCAGGCTAAATGCCTTCGCCATCGACAGTGCAGTTCGACCTCGCTCGAACTGGGACTCAGGCTAAATGCCCTCGCCATCGACAGTACAGTTTGACCTCGCTCGAACTGGGACTCAGGCTAAATGCCTTCGCCATCAACAGTGCAGTTCGACCTCGCTCGAACTGGGATTCAGGCTAAACGCCTTCGCCATCGACAGTACAGTTCGACCTCGCTCGAATTGGGACTCAGGCTAAGTGCCTTCGCCATCGAAATAGTACCGTTTGACCTCGCTCGAACTGGCTCTGGATAAACGCCTTCGCCATCGACAGTACAGTTCGACCTCGCTCTAACTGGGACTCAGGCTAAGTGCCTTCGCCATCAAAATTGCAGTTCGACCTCGCTCGAACTGGGATTCAGGCTAAATGCCTTCGCCATCGACAGTACAGTTCGACCTCTCTCGAACTGGCTCAGGCTAAATGCCTTCGCCATCGACAGTACAGTTCGGCCTCGCGCGAACTGGGAGTGGCTAAATGCCTTCGCCATCAACAGTACAGTTCGACCCCGCTCGAACTGGGACTCAGGCAAATGCCTTCGCCATCAACAGTGCAGTTCGACCTCGCTCGAACCGGGACTCAGGCTAAACGCCTTCGCCATCGACAGTACAGTTCGACCTCGCTCGAACTGGGACTCAGGCTAAATGCCTTCGCCATCAACAGTGCAGTTCGACTTCGCTCAAACTGGGACTCAGGCTAAACGCCTTCGCCATCGACAGTACAGTTCGACCTCGCTCGAATTGGGACTCAGGCTAAATGCCTTCGCCATCGACAGTACAGTTCGACCTCGCTCGAACTGGCTCAGGCTAAATGCCTTCGCCATCGACAGTACAGTTCGACCTCGCTCGAACTAGGACTCAGGCTAAATGCCTTCGCCATCGACAGTACAGTTCGACCTCGCTCGAACTGGGATTCAGGCTAAATGCCTTCGCCATCGACAGTGCAGTTCGACCTCGCTCGAATTGGGATTCAGGCTAAATGCCTTCGCCATCGACAGTACAGTTCGACCTCGCTCGAACTGGGACTCAGGGTAAACGCCTTCGCCATCGACAGTACAGTTCGACCTCGCTCGAATTGGGACTCAGGCTAAGTGCCTTCGCCATCGAAATAGTACCGCTCGACATCGCTCGAACTGGGACTCAGGCTAAATGCCTTCGCCATCGACAGTACAGTTCGACCTCTCTCGAACTGGCTCAGGCTAAATGCCTTCGCCATCGACAGTACAGTTCGACCTCGCTCGAACTGGGATTCAGGCTAAATGCCCTCGCCATCGACAGTACAGCTTGACCTTGCTCGAACTGGGACTCAGGCTAAATGCCTTCGCCATCAACAGTGCAGTTCGACCTCGCTCGAACTGGGACTCAGGCTAAGCGCCTTCGCCACCAAAACTGTACAGTTCGACCTCGCTCGAACTGGGACTCAGGCTAAGCGCCTTCGCCACCAAAACAGTATAGTTCGACCTTGCTCGAACAGGGACTCCAGCTAAGTGCCTTCGCCATCAGAGCATTATAACTCGATCTCACTCAGGCAAAAACAACCACCTACTGCCCACAACCGAATCGCAAATCGATAAAGAGTATGCCATCAGAAAGCATATAGCGAAAAAATGATCCGTTATTAATGGAACCGAAAACGCGGGTCAACGCCGCTTACATCCGGTTCAAGCCGGCCGAAGAGTCAAATAAAAAAAAAGAGGAAACAACAAACAAACAAATGCCCATCGGCGTACCAAAGGAAAGATCAACACAGGATAGAATTATTTTTTTATTCTTTTCATTCGGCGCCAGCACCGCCGTCGCCATCCTCACCTCCATCAAGGCCATCATCATCGCCACCACGGGCACCATCATCGGTCTCGGGCGTCCCCACGTCATATCCGCAGCTGGCTGTTGCTTTGCGGGCTTTTTGGCGTGCCACCTCAACAGCCTCCTCAGACACAGCGCCCTCCTCCAACAGGTTCTTAAAAATGTCAAGCTGGGCTTCGGCATAGACCCAAAGATCATGAGTCTGGGGGGAACACCGGCACGAGCCGGTCCAGCCAAGGCCCTCAGGCGCTGGTTCTCTTCCTCCAAAACAGCAACCTGATCCGACAAATCCTGGGCCTCCTGATCAATCTCGCCGATTCGCTCCTCAAGCCTCGCCTCCCTAAGGGCCGCAGCCTCACCCTCCGACTCTTGTTGAGACTCCTGGACGCGAACCGCTGCCTCAAAGGCCGGCGCCCTAGTTGACGCGTCCCTCTCTGCACGCTCCAGGTCGGCGACCTGAACCTCCAGGGCAGCCAGTTTCGCTCCCCACTCGGCCTCAATTTCCACAATTCTGGCCCGGCTTTGCTCTATCTCCAGCTTTAATTCTCGCACCTTGCCTTCAAGATACTCGCACTCGGCGGCAACACCCCTCCCCACTTCGAGCTCCTCGTCCTTGAGACGAATTCGCTCCTCGAGCTCACTCCTGCTGCGCAGCACTTGCAATAGCTCACGGTCCTTCCGCTCCAACTCCTCGCCCAACGCCTGGTTGCGAGGATCATTTCTCAACCGCTCATGCAGCTCACGGCACCTATCGCGGTAATGACGGTACTTCCCCAACATCTGTAAAAAGATCCTCGACCGAACGTTGGCCTTGCGGATATTCTCCACTTCTAGTATATACGACTGCAAAACATAAAGAGTAGTTAGAAAAACGTCCGCTCCACACTAAAGGGCCGACGGATTAAAAGTCTAGTATAACATACCCGCAAGCCCATTACGGCCACCTCTTCCATCACGGCGACGTCCGGAACCTCCCTCAGGGACTCATTCTCAGCCTCGGAACACAGCAGGCTGAACTGCTCCACCAACTCACCCCTCTGGGCCAACAGGTTCATATTTACGGGAATATCAATGAGGCGGGCCGGCCCCCCCGCATTGAC